CCTCATTGTGCTCATCCTCTCTGGCTAGGGATCTCGAGCCGCCTTTTATGTATCTGGGGAACCTCCACCCCCTCTTTCTTTTCTCACTCCCTCCCTCTTAAGTTGTCTTCTACTCCTTTTGGGTCTTCTTCTCCTTCTCACCCTCCGCTATTCTAATCACTGTGTCAGTCAATCAATCAATGAAATAATGAATGAATGAATGATTGAATGAATGAATGAATCAATCAGTCATAACGAATGAATGTTCAGATGTAAGTCATAGGCAGCCAGTGTGGGCAGCACCCCAGATCTCTCATTGGGTAGACTATCTCCCACCTCCTTTCAACAGACCCCGGTCATCAGCGATAGATCCCCCTCAAGGCTTCAGAAGACACTGACCGCGATCTCGGTAGGCCGGTAGGCCACGATTCGTCCCTCGCGAGTCCCATAGTCTATCCCTCCTCCCGGACGTAGTTGCATGATCCATTGTATGGTTGTAGGTTGTAAGCAGGCCTTTTTTTTGTATGATTGTTCAGATGTAAGTCATAGGCAGCCAGTGTGGGCAGCACCCCAGATCTCTCATTGGGTAGACTATCGCCCACCTCCTTTCAACAGACCCCGGTCATCAGCGATAGATCCCCCTCGAGGCGTCAGAAGACACTGACTGCGATCTCGGTAGGCCGGTAGGCCACGATTCGTCCTCCTCAAGTCATATAAGTCTATCCCTCCTCCCGGATGTAGTTGCATGATCCATTGTATGGTTGTCGGTTGTAAGCAGACATTTTTTTTGTATGATTGTTCAGATGTACGTCGTAGGCAGCCAGTTGTATGGTTGTATGGTTGTAAGACTCGAATATAGCATGTTTTTTTGATCAAGTTGTCAGAATCCAGTCAGACCACCCACATCAGACAATCCCGCATGGACCAGAACCCAACATGCAGCACCCATGGACTAACCCTTGGGTGGTGCGCAGGCAGTGTCTGTAATAGCTTACCTGATTCAGCCCAAGGGGGTGTGCAAGTGACCATACGCTATGTAAATGTTTGCCGGTGTCTCGACGCAGAGGTGTGGAGTTTTGAACCCGCAACCTCAGACCACAATGCGCGTTGACACAAAACTGGTTCCCTAACCACTGAGCCACAGACCACTTGCATTCCTCAACAAACAACCCAGAAAATGCTCTGAACACTACCCAGCTTTAGGTGCAGGTGCTGGAGAATAAGTTTCAGGCAGAATTGGCCACATCTTAGACCGCTGCACTGACAACCCTCCACTCCCCCAACCATGGGAAAAAAATCTCCACAAGGCTTGAAAGCCACACAAACCAAAACAAAAAATAACATTGCCCACAAGGCCAACAGAACCAAAACAAGCCACAGCTCAAAATCACTAAACCTAGCCTAGCCTAGAACCTGTCTCTTATACACATCTAGATGTGTATAAGAGACAGTCTTAGACCGCTGCACTGACAACCCTCCACTCCCCCAACCATGGGAAAAAAATCTCCACAAGGCTTGAAAGCCACACAAACCAAAACAAAAAATAACATTGCCCACAAGGCCAACAGAACCAAAACAAGCCACAGCTCAAAATCACTAAACCTAGCCTAGCCTAGAACTGCCTGCGAATTTATTTACTCTACACACACGGCTGCTACAGTAGTAGCACTATTCCTAACGCCTAAATCGGGGTAAAGTGTACATCCCAGCTTAGGATTCCAAAGTAACACAGCTGCTCCCTCCTCCAATACCCATTGCCCATCTACTGTCACCCACCAGATTGCCAAGCAACCGAGCGCTACAGGTTGCAATTAGGAGAGATCTGGATTTAGTAATTAATTAATAATGAATATTAATTTATTATTATATATTTCTTCTTCGCATACGGCCCAGCGAAGTGACCTGCGCCCCTCCCAACGAGTCCAGCGTTTGCATCACCAACCGCCTCACAAACCTGTTGTTAGTACAACACCTACGTCGGCTCGTTTGAGTGCAGCACTTCAAGGTGTCATCCGTACTCTCCGTGAAAAAGATAATCAACTCTTCCAATCCGAAGGTATTCGACGATGTTGGATTGTCCAGAGCAGTGACGAGGTCATGTTTGACCTCAAAAAGAATAAAGCTTCTCTCCGAGGTCTGGCCCCCCATACGGTCGATTTCACTACTATGTATACTAATCTTTTTCACTACTATGTATACTAATCTTTCTCATCAACGGATTCTTGACAATGTTGCTAAGGCTGTTGATGAGGCACATGCCTATGCTCTTGCACAGGCACAGGCATACACGGACACGCTCATCCTGTGTTGCTCTCGTGCAGGGGAATGGGCTACGGATACGGGATCTGACACTCTTTCTGTGTCTGACATTCTTCAACATCTTTGGTTTATTGTTACTAATACATATTTATATACAGCGGATGGCCTTGTTCGTCATCAAGACGTGGGTATTCCCATGGGTACAAACGCTGGTCCTGAGATTGGTAACCTTACACTCTATTGGGATGAGGCGCAGTATGTGGACAACCTGCAGCGTGTGGATCACTCTGCAGCTCGCCGATATGTTTTCACTTACCGGTTCATTGATGATGTTCTTACCTTTGGTTGTCTGCCACCATCGCCAACCTATTATGGTCTTGAATGGAAGGAGACCACTGCGGTTGATGGCTCTTGCACCTTTTTAGGTGCGAAACTGCAGACACGAGCAGATGGATCTCTGCGATTGAGTGTGTTTGACAAGACAGTTGCATGGGATTTGCCTGTTATACGATATCCTAGTGCAACGTCAAACATTCCGTCTCATCAGCCTGCAGGTGTGTTCACCGGCCAGCTTACGCGGTTTGAGCAGATTTGTGACAATTGGCATATGATTTGATTTCAGAACTGCGGCAACCATGCTTGTCCGCCATTTGCTTTCCCGTGGCCATGCTCCTTCAACATTGGCCCGATGATGGACTTGTTACATTCGTGCTTGCCAACGTCGATATCCTCTACATGTAACTCGTTTTACACAATGGTTTCAACGTATGCTTCGCTGGTCCGTGCATCATCCTCTTCCACCTTCTCCTCCTCTTTCCTTCGCTTCTCCTTCTCCCTCTCCCTCTCCCCCTCCCCCTTCCTCTCTTCCATCTTCTCCTTCTCGTCCGCCTCCCCCTCCCCTTTCTTGTCCATCTTCCCCTCCTCTGTCTTCCCTCTCTTCCTCTCCACTTCCCCCTTCTTCTCCCCCTCCCCCTCCTCCTCCGTCTCCTTCCCCTTCCACTTCCCCTTCGCCTTCCTCTCCCTCTCCTTCTCCTTCCTCTTTGCCAACGTCCTCTTCTTCTTCGTCTTCTTCTTCTTCTTCTTCTACTTCTGCATCATCCGTTTCTTCTTCTTCTTCTTCCTCTTCTTCTTCTTCATTTGCCCCCGCACGCCGGCTGAGATCGGCCCCTCCTTCGTCTTCGTTGTCTATATTGGGACGTCGGCAGGTTCGTTCATTCCCTGCTCCTCCCAGTCCCCCTTCCTCTCGACGTCGTGTTGGTGCTAATCTGCGGGGTTCTATGTCTTACTGACAGCCTTCTCTGCCACGTCGACGGCGTTCGTCATTCATGCGCCGACCCCGCCAGATCAGACCTAGCTTTCCAGTGTGACTGAATCGGATCTGCGGGCAGATCTACCAAATGCTTGTGGGTTGACAGCCACGAATGTCTTCCTACAGGCTTATTAGCGTCAATGTTATACTGCTTCCCATTTCGTCACGATTGCTTATCAGCTTGACGCTGTTGAAAATCAGTTGTTGTATGACCATAATGGTCCACCTCCTGAAGGTAGTAATTATACTACCTCAGGAGGCTTTACTGTAAATGTCTTACAACTAGCATTCCACGGTCGCCACCTTTTTATGTATCATGCGACGCCAGGCGATGACCTTAATGGCCATCCTCATATTTCTGCCTGTATTTTGCACAGACCCGGGCATTATATGGCACTCATTCATGCAGCTGCCCAGTGGGAACTGTGGAATGGTGGGACCATGACTCAGGCTATTTTCAACATAAATGAAAATTTCTGTGTGCATTACCGAATCATACTTTATTCCGGATTATTGATCGACTCTCGTGTGACACCTGTCGGGACAGGGACGCGGTGTGTCTTGGCTGCGGAATTCATCACGTATGCCATCAACATTATCAATCTATTGCAGCCGCCGCCGTCTGTGCCGAAGGTGTCCAACATTTCCTCAATTGTACACATCCGTATCACCCAGATATTTGTTGTCCCTTTTGTGCTCAAGGACACTATCACGACTGCATGATACCGCACTGTGATGAACGTCCTGCTGTTTTTTTGACATGTGGACAGCATGTCCTCTGTCAGGACTGTTTTGATGGGATGGTCCGTGCTAGCCGTCCTGCTGAATGCTGTGCCGAAGTAGCTCTCCTTGGGTATCCTTGTGAACATCCACGTCATCCTCAGCGTGCCTGTCCTATCTGGCGGGTTGGGGGCTCCCCTTCCTAAGTGGTCAATAGAATCAAGCGATCAGGAGCAACACTAATTGTAGGACAGATAAAAGAAAGAAAGAAAAAAAGTACAAATTTCTGGAGACAAGAAAAAAGAAAACAAGAAAAAAAAAAAGAGAAAACAATATGTTGAACTTTGTAGTAACAATGGCAATTGGTTTATCTGTGGGATGTGTCATTTGCTTTCTTCCTTTGTCTTTTCTTTCTCTTGCCTCTGCGAGGTCTGGTTTCCTCCTCCTTTTCTTTACCTCTTTGCCTTTCGGCTGCATGCAAGTGGGTCCTTGTGACACAGGGGGATGGGGGCAGCCAGCGCTCAACCTGTCATCCACGCGGCTGGCCTTGTACGTAAGAGGTGATGAACAGGTGGGGCTTTCCTTACTTCTTTTCCTTTCCTTGTATTGCTTTTCTTCGCCTCCACGCTCTGATTCACAATGTGACAATATATATGGCAGCTCTGTTTGACGTTTTAACCACGACAGGGGTTAAGGTGGATTAACACTTACAGTGTAATCGGCTAGGGGATTCTGCAGACTGTGAGGGTTCAGCCTCCTGATGAGTCGGTGAAACTCTGACCAAACAGTTTGTCGCAGCGTTATATATCATTTAATTTTACTTACTGGGAAAATTGTGTCATGCCCCTCAAAGATGCGTTTATTTGCGCTATGCCTCTGGAAACATAGGCTCACCCCCTGCCCCGAGGGCCTGTAATCTTTGGGCAGGCCCCTGCCGGAAGGGAAGACAGCTTTTGCGTGATGCCCTTGGTAGACTGAGGGTCGGGCTGGGCTCGGCCCTTGCGAAGCATGCCCCCTGTCCCGGGTGGGACATCTTTACGTCTTTTCGCCATGCCCCCTCTATGTTGAGGCGCCAGTCAATTGGGTTTGGACTGCTGAATTCGAATTTTCAAACTGTGTTACATGCCAGGACAATTTTTCAATGTGTTACGATCCTGGCCAATTTCGAAGTACATGTTCACCAGAAAGCACAATGCCGTCCAATTGCAAAACGAAATGAATGAACTTGAGAGGAGAGAGAGGGAAAGAAGAAGAAGGAAGAAAGAAGAAGAAAATGATGTACTCAGCATAGGCCAATGACAGTGCTCTCCTCCTTCGCCAACCACTCTCCTCCTCCTTATCTCCTCCCGTCTTATTCAAACAAGAAATAACAACAATAATGTTGAATGGCTGAACCAGAATCAATGTCCGAGTCCCTCTTCTACTGCAGGCACAACATGAGGTCCACCATAGCCATGGCCACCCTTCCTCTTCTTCTTCATGTGGGCCGAGGCTATGGCGGACTACTGAGAGCTCTACCCTCCTGTCCAAAGGACAACACAAAGCAGCTATGTCGCTGCCCCCCCTGTGCAAAGGACAACCCAAAGCAGCTATGCCGCTGCTCAACAAGCCGCCATGCCTGACTCTGCCCCGAGCTTCCTTGATGCGGCACTACCCCAACTGGGGCCTTCCAGATGCAACGCCTAGCAAGGTGATGAAGACGGTGTCCACCATAGCCAGGTAGGTACCTCGCCACTCTCCTCCTCAGTCCCCTTCTCCCTCCTCCTCTTACCGGTAGAGCTCCACCATAGCCGAGGTGGAAGCTCCCTGCCTCCTTCCTCCCAGCAGCGCTGTAGTACCCAGCGCTACTCCAGCCAGCGCTCCAGCAGTGTGTCGCCAACTTGCACACCGAAGAATGAGGCTGGGCTCTTCGCTCAGCCTCCAGATATAGCGGCCTACTTGCCTCCTCCGCTCGGCCTCCCAAGCGACCGGTACCTCCTCCCTTTCGGAGGGAAACATCATTGCAGACTCTGATATTGTCCGTACAGGCCCTAGACTCAGACTGGATGGACTGGTACCCGCCTAGACCTAGCCTACCGCTACTGGGCCTCTAAAAATGCCAACTTTGTCTTCTTCTGCTCGGCCTCAAGTACCCGGCGCATCTACTTCTACTGGGTGCGGTACTGGCCTACCTGCTACTTGAGTGTTTTTCCGCTGCTCTAAGTGCCGCGTGGCTCTCTCTCCGCCACTTGAGTGTTTTCCCTGCTGCAACCCTCAATATCACGGCCGCAGGTAAGTACCGGCCCTACGGGCCTCCCAAACAAGCAAGTACCCTTGCGGGTCACACACACACTCATGCCGGCAAGCACTCAGACAGGCACGCAGGTCATCAAGCACGCACACACACAGACTTACAAAACTCAGCAGAATGCGGGAATCTCAGCAAGGCATCCATTCCATCGGCAGAACTCAGAAATCAGCAGTGTTCTCAGCCCGTGTTATGGCGGGTCATTACAAATGGATCTTTCTCTCGTGGTGCTGCTCGAGTGGCCACCTTGGAGTTGCAGTTCGAAGGAGTCTTTGGCTGTGTGCTGCTGCTCTTGCTTGCCGTGTCACTGCTTGTGTCGCTGCGGTTCTGCTTCGCTGGCTCCGCACTTTCTTCTGGGGCTCCAAACGTCTCGGCATTGTTTTTCCCCCTTTTGGCTGGCACCACAGCCATTTTTGTCCGGTAGCTCCGAGGCTCGGCCCGGCCCGGCCCACAACTGGCAGACTGAGAGGACTTTGGAAGTCCATCAAGACAAGAAAATACCGGTGGTGAAGTTTGGCACCGTCTGCACCCGAATGGAACGATTAGGGTGCAGACAGTAGTCTAGGTTGGCTTCAGTCTCACAGGGCAGTGCCAACAGCCAAGTGGCTCTCCAGAAACGGTATGCCGGTGCCGGAGACATGTTGCAGGTGGAAGAAACAGATCGAGGATGATAGGCATCTGTGGTGGTGATGTATGGAGTTAAATATTTGGAAGTTGTGGGATGAGCTTTGGAAAAAGGATGTAGAAGATTCAACATCATGGGGGGATGAAAAAAAAAGAAAAAAAAAAAAAGAAAAAAAAAAGAAAAAAAGAGTCTGGTGGGGCTGTTGCCTTAGACAAGCTTGTCCACAAAGGGATGGGGCTACATTGTGCTTGCTGTTACTTGTTGTTAGAGTTGCTGTGATGTGATGAATGTCATTAGGAAACTGAGGAACGACAGGATGTGTCACAACAAGTTCTATTCTGATGTTCAGTCAGATTAAGGACATGGTGCTGTCAGAAGTTGGTTGCATGTTGCGGGCGGACTGGAGACGAGCTTGGAACCGGAGATTTTTATCACTCTTTTTTCCCCTTTCACTCTTTTTTTTTGCCTTTCATGAAGTAATAGAGCCACAATTCTGCTTGGTGGCCACAGAAAAAAAGTGCTAGCATGAAATACCAGGGAGACTTCTTTTTTTTTTTGGTGGTTGAATGCGATGGCCAGGGGTAAGGGAAGAGATTCCTGGCTGCCTTGAGCTGACAGGCATCTGTTGCTCTACCCCTTTCTCCTTAGACCTTGGAAAAAGGGGCAAAACAATAGCCATGGCCTTCACGATCACTTGGCTCATCACGGTGGCGGGAGCATGAATGGGCGGGGGCTTCAGAGGCTTGAGTGGGGAGCCTACCTCACCTGCTGGTGAGCCTGAGCCAGTGGGTTGCTGAATTTCCTGTCCAGTGCTGATGACAGACCCCCAATAACTACCCCCAAGAAGACATCATTGGCGTTGGAAGATTGAGGGAAAAAAGCTGCACACGCGACTCTTAAGGAGTAAGGAGGTTTTCCGCAAGAGGGACTCTATTGTGGAAAAAAAAGAAAGAAAAAACTGAAACATTGCATCTGTCCTTGTATGGCATCTGTGTGCATCCCAAGAGCGCCAATGATACGACTCTTGTCTGAAAGAAACCGGCTCCTCGAAAGGGCCTCTTTTTTCCCTTATCTGTGTGCAAACCCTGAATCCAGACAGGCTCACTCTATCTAGTCTAAAATACAGGCTAGATACAGGCATACAATCCATGGCAGATGGATGGGGAACCTGTTTGGCCACATAAACGCAGGCAGACAATCCATGGCAAACTGAAAGACTGCATCTGTCCTTGTATGGCATCTGTGTGCATCCCAAGAGTGCCAATGATACGACTCCCGTCTGAAAGAAACCGGCTTCTCACAAGGGCCTCTTTTTCCCCTGATCTGTCTGCAAACCCTGAATCCAGACAGGCCCACTGCATCTAGTCTGAAATACAGGCTAGATACAGGCAGACGATCCATGGCAGATGGATGACCTGATGTCCACTGTATATGATAATACAGCAAGGACTAAAGGGAAAAGGGCAGACATGAAAACTGAACATCGGTGCTTCGTCTAAAGTCAGAAAACCTGAACCTGGTCGCGAAATTGCGTTGGTTCATGACAACTTGGGGGCAAGTTAGCATAAGTGACCTTCACAGGCTTCACTTGAATAAAACACCGGTCACTATATCTGCATTTGGTGCAGTTTTCAGACTAGATACAGTCATCATGACCGGATGTTCTGTTCGGGTGAAGACGGTAGTGGTGGATGCCCCTGCAATTCATAAGTCAGAAGGCGTCGTGGTTGTTGTTTTGTGGATTAAAAGGTTACATCCCTCCCGGGTGGAAGCAACCTCCTTCACTCTGATGCCTGGTCATTCATGGCTGTATCTAGACTGGAAGTCCCCAAATGCAGCTATCGTGACTGGGCGTTCTATTCGGGTGAAGACAGTCATTTTGTGAAAAGAATTCTCACTTCTTGAAACTATCAAGGGTTAGAGAGTGTGGTCAAGGGACCTGTAGACGGATACCTGTTTCTGCCGAAGGAGATGCGTACGTCATGTTTTGCCATTCATCGGCAAATGCCGACAGCCAGCATCACATGTATAATATTTGTATGTATAATATCTGTATATATTATTCTATTGTGTCATGATGTGCAGTCATTTATGTTAATTACATACTGTCTTTTTACAAAGATAACTTGGTAAGGATGATGAGCCATGGACGCAAGTTTGATGCTAGGCCGGTGTTGCCAATCCAGAAAGAGAACTTGAATGTTTTGCAGGAACAATCGGTTCTCCTGTTGGAGAAGTAGAGGGGTGTTTGTGAACGAGGAGCTGCTCGCTTTTGAATTCTGATTGGCAAGCAGACGTTAAGACCGTTTCGGTAATGTATGTGACCAGAATCGCCCGCACTGAAGGTTAGCGCACAAGTTGCATTACGTTGCACACTAAGCGTCACACTAGTGCATGTGCTAGCGCCCCGCCCTGTTGCCGCCATGCTTTCATGCCTGCACGTGTTTTTCACATGGTCACTTCTCTGTGCCCGCAGCGCTTCCCACCCGAATTCGCCAGCGCGAGGACCCGCGCTCGCCAGCCTCTGTTCGAACTTCGCGTCCATGGTGTTGCTCCACATCAGCATGACATCCTTGGTGGGAACAGGCCACTTGGCGCAGGCACGAAGTCAGGCCGGTTGATCGCGAATCCTGAATGGCTTTAACCTTTGAAGTATAAACCCATGCTGTAAGCAAATTCAAGCTGTAGCACAAGAGGTCTACGGTACACACACACACGCACACCCACACACACACCCACACCTGTCTCTTATACACATCTAGATGTGTATAAGAGAAGAGAGAGAGAGAGAGAGAGAGGTCAGGATGCGTCTCGTGCCAGAAGATGGAGGAGAGATTGCGGGAACTGCAGATAGATGGTGAAAGATACTTGGGGAGTGGAGGAGGGGGTAGTTCCCCCCATCATAGTAAGTGAAATAGGTAGGTTCAGGCCAGCGCCCAGGGCAAATTACTAGGACAGGTAGCAGGTTCGTGCCAGGCGCCTATGACAAATTATTGCCCCTAATAGTGAGTGAAGTAGTTGATTCGGGCCAACCAGCGGCCAACGAATACTCACAGTTTTCGGGATAAAAGAGGAATCTGAACTCGTCCTGAAATAGTAAAGAAACAAGTAAATAAATGTAAATAACTGAAATTACTGAATAATAATAATGAAAAGAAGTACACGAACGCACAAATAAATGTTGATTGAGGGCTGCGGAGGGCGGCCTAGGCACTGCGGCAGAAGGATTTTTTGTTCTCATTTTCATTTTCATTGATATATATGTTTATATTTATATTTATATTAAGTACACGTTACTACTCGTTTCCAATAAGTTACCGATTAATATCGAACTTTTTCTTTTTTTTTTCTTTTTTCTTGTTTCTGTCTACGTGTATTCTGCATCTAATCAACCGATATTGATTGATTGATTGACGGATTGATTGAGCGATTGCCTGGTCTATTTTTTCTATGGGTTGAAGTATCAAATTCGTTGATTGATTCATTCATTGAAGCCCCCCCTTCCTATGATATATATGTATATATCGTCACAAACAGAACTGCCACAGTGTGACAATATATAGTCAAACAGAGCTTCCCGGTAAACCGTAGGCAGTGAGGGAGGGAGAAGAGGACAACGAACGAGGGGTTGTGACAGACGGACTGTTTCGTTGGAGTTTCACCGGCTCATATATATATATGTTTTGCCTGTATTTTACATMGACCCGGGCATTATATGGCACTCATTCGTGCAGCTGCCCAGTGGGAACTGTGGGATGGTGGGACGATGAGTCAGGTCATTTTCGACGTGAATGAATTTTTGCGAGCGTTGTCGAATCATACTTTATTCTGGATTATTGACCGACTCTCGTGTGACGCCTGTCGGGACAGAGACGCGGTGCGCCTTGGCTGTGGAATGCATCATCTATGCCATAGCCATTATCAATCTATTGCGACTGCCGCCGTCTGTCCTGAAGGNTTTTTTTTTTTTTTTTTTTTTTTTTTTTTTTTTTTTTTTTTTTTTTTTTTTTTTTTTTTTGTGTTTAGCAGGCACTGTTCTTGATCGACAGGCGTTTGGATGTCGTGGCCACTGCAGGGGATCGGTCTCGAGGCAACTGAAGTGGGAAGCTGTCCCTCATCAACAATCTCTCCGTCTCATTGATTCTCTGTCCACCTCTCCTTGCCTTTATTCTTCTGAGAGAGTTTGGAAAGCGTTGGTTCATTGATCATCATATTATGACTTCATGACCGCCGGATGGAGTTGCCACGCCGCAAGCGATTCATTTGTGTGATGTTCTTGTTCGACAATGGCCGTCTTTACCCTGACATCAGCTGGATGGGAGTGGTATGAGTCCCTGCTGAGGAAATGGGGCCTTCGACTCAAAGGGGGGTTTATCTGGGGGGGGGGTCATAATCCTGAGAAGGTAGGCCATTCCTGCCAGCAGTTTCTGCCATGGATCTCCGGCAATGGCTGCAGCAGCAGAAACCAGCGATCTGTGGTGGCCTTGAGTGCGAAGGTAAGTGCTATTCTTGCAGCGGCAGTGACGACTGTGGGGGCAGTGGGTCTGGCTGCCTGGGCTGTCAGACATGGGTCGTCCCCGGAGACCCTAGGAAAGGCCTTAGCAAGTTTGACGTCGTCGGCGTGTGCGTTGCAAGGGAGCCTTAACTCGGGGAGCGATGAACGGGATGTTGAGCCTGAAGATGTTCTAATTGCTGGCCTTCACAATGCAGGGAATGGTTGCTTTTTGAATGTCATACTGCAGGTAAGGATCTGAAAAAGACTTGGAACAAAATAAAAAAAAATAAAAAATAAAAAAACAGAGCATGTGGGAAAAAAAAACAAAACGAAAACAAAATCAGAGCATGCGGAGGTGCAAAACATGGCTACAAAGGATGAATGCGAATGGCAGCAGTACATAGTTGCGGCGCACTTTGGTGCGCGGATTTGCGCACGAATTGCGCACCACGCGCAGCGCACCGCACAGCGCACTTGAAAAATTAGGTCCAAAAAAAAAAAAAAAAAGTAGGGGTTTCATAATTTCTGAGGGCCCCCAACTCGGCAAAAATGTTAAACTCACCACGCAAGCTCGCAAACCAGCCGTGCCCACGGCCCAAACTTTTCTTTTTGGTAAGGGCTGCCGAAATTTCAATTTCCGCAGGCCCTCCCCCCAAAAGTTTCAGAATAGCGAGGCACAAAATAGGGATCATTCCAACTTTTGTTTTAGGCGGGGTATGAAAGCTGTCGTTCCCGCTGCCTTCTGCAAATCCCACACAGTAGTGGGGTAAGTTCGCAAGAAGGGGTAGTCGCCTACTAACGACCTGCCCCGCGAAATTTCACAGAATTCACAAATTACATGTTCCATCGCCAGCCGACCACCAATATATGCTGAAGATTGGCGTTCAGGTCCCCATGTCGGCAGTTATGGGTCAGGATGAAGATGCCCTTGGCTCTCTCGTTTTTTTATTTTTGTTTTCTTACGAATACTTCAAGTGGGGATGCACAAAAGACATAGCATATGGCGGTGTATGGTTCCATGTTTTCGCAGAAGATTCATTATGCCCGTGGCTCTCTCGTTTTTACGCACAGCGCAGTGCGCACCGCCCCGCACCGCACTGCGCACTGGTGCACCGCAACTATGCAGCAATATCATGAATGATCAACGTTTATGAACGGACTCAAGGTGGGATTGAAACCAACGAGTTTGTGGTGGCGGGATGACTTTATTGTGAGGTGGTTGGTGTGTTTTGGGGGCTCTGCTCTGGACGTGTTTGTATGTGGTGGCTCCTGCTATTTGTTCCTTGATCAGTTTGTCGTCAGAACCCGATGTCAGGCAATGTGTGTTCTTTTGTTTCTGTTTTTTGGTTGGTGGTGGTTGTAATCATCTGGAGCAGTTCTCGTCTCTATTTGTGTGTTTTATGATTTTATCCCTTTCTCTCTCGATTGCGAAGGGGTGAATGATGCAAATTATATTCTCCTCAATTTTCGAAGGGGCGAATGATGCGAACGAATCTCCTCGGGAGCCATTCTCATCTCTAGTTGTGTATATGCCATCCCATTCTCAATTGCGAAGGTGCGAATGATGCAAAAAAATAATCTTCTCTGGAACAGTCCTCGCCTCTATTTGTGTGTGTTCTCCCATCCTCAACTGCGAATTTGTTCGGAATGTCTCCTGAAGGAAGGACGGTGCGTGACATCGACTGTAATGTGGGAAAGGAAAATTTGCAAGGGAGACTCTGTCTCTGAGGACTGTAAACAAGATGTGTGTCAATCTGCTCCCAGAGGGAGGGAGGAGATCCTTTGGTGGTTGGTGAAAAAATACGACATCGGACTGTCCGGGAGAAAACGTGGGCAATCATATGCGAGGAGTTGGGTTCACAAACGAATGTAACCAACTGGCCTAACTTAGTTGGTACGCTCCTGCGTGAACTGTTGCAATACAGACCCGAGTTCGAACTCCACTGGAAGCAGACGAGTGAAATACGACAATTGAACACAATTCTGAATTACCTAGGGGCCGTCAATTCCATGATGATATAGACCCGAGTTCGCCCTTTTTATAAAGAAAAAAAAAGGAAGGAAGGAAAAGGGAAAATAGAAAAAAAAAGAAAACAAGGGAATGATTGATGTATACCATGGTCAGCGTGTATGTTACGGACTCAGCCAGGGCTCGATCCCTGGTCCGCGGGTTACCACCCCGCTGGGCTGCTATTTTATTTTCGAGTTTCTGATCTCCGGTTCCTGACTGTAGGCGCCCTCTGCAGTTGGCGCCCGTTCTCAAATTCCTCCTTTGGCACTTTCGGATTTCGATACTTGGCGCCGTCCGGCATTCTGGCGCCCAGACTCAGACCTTCGATTCTCAGTTCAGCCCTGAGGCGAATTGCACTTCTGCCCTCGGGACTGAACTTGAGTCCGGTACTTGAGACCGGACTCCAGCCCAGTACGGACACTCAGTTTTCAGCCTCAGTGCTTGTGCTTCAGTGTGACTTGCTGCGACATTGTTTTTGGGAATTCAAGACTGCGACTTTGCCACTTTGTGTCTGCGTCCGTCGAGTCGTGTCGAGTCTTGAGTGAGCGTGTGTGTGTGCTCTCACTCTCCCTCTCTCTCCCAGCCTCGCTGCCCTGCCTCTGCCTCGTCACAGTGTAGATATCCATCAAGTGAATGCTTCAGAATTAGACTTAACCGTTTTTTGTTTTTCCAATTTCGTATTCTTTGCGATGCTTTATGAGGACCAGTAGACCAGTAGAAGATGTGACGCGATAAAAAAAAATTACCGAATTGGATTTCTGGATGTGAGGCCCGAATCTGGGCGTGTTTGTGGAGATGTGCAGATAATCGCGTTGAGAGGAGTTTTTGTAGCCAGGATGCCGTGCATCAAAATGGATTCCTGGGGCCAAGGCCCATGAGCAGCGTCGAGTTTCCTCAATGCCCTAATCTGGACGTGTTTGTGGCGATGTGCGTTTGAGGAAACTCAATGCGATTTTCTGCACATCTCCACGAACACGTCCAGATTCGGGCATTGAGGAAACTGAACGCTGCTAGTGGGACTTGGCCCCTGGATCTTAGTGGGAATGGAATGTTTCTGGATAAGAGGATATAATTTTCAGGGCGTGGGTCGAAAAGGATTTCTGGATGGAAACTGAATGATGGTGATCATGCAGAGGAGGATCAGATCGATCGTTCAATTTTATTTGAGGAGAGAATCAAGGGAGCTGCGAATCGTGAAGGAGAATGGGTTGGGGTCTCATCATCTGCAGTTTTCATTCTGAGATCCTGAGGTTATGAATTGGAGCAGATGCCAAAAGGCTATGGGGTGCAAAATGGGCCACCAGTTCCTGGATTTCCCCCCTAATTATAACATTGGGTGGGTGGGTTGGGGGTTGGGGTGGGGGGGGGGTGATAGCCTACTTCAATTTTCAAATTCATCTGTTGGTGCCCATGTTCATCTGGGGTTAAGGTGAATTATCACTTACAGTATCACCGGTTAGAGGACTCTTTCAGATTGTAGAGGGCTTAGGCTCCTGACGAGTGAGTTAAAGTTCGATGAAAGAGTCTGTCGAAGCCCCCCGTTTCCTCTTCCTTTGTCCCTTTTCTGCCCTTCTGTTCACGAGGCGCTTCTGTTGGACAGCATTGGGGGTTGCCAGTGTGCAGCCATGCTGTGTGCCACTAGGGTAAGCAGTGTGTCTGGAGTGTATTTTCTGGCTGTGGCAGGCCTTTGTGTTTTGTGAGTGTTTTGCTGGATTATGATGGGGTGTGAACGTACAGTCTGTAGAGTCTTCTGTCTGGTGTCGGTGGGTGATAGTCTGCTTTGGCAGTGGTTGGTGTCCTCCTCAGGGTATCATTTGTGGGGCTGTGGTTGGTGCCCAACTGCAACTGGGGTTAAGGTCAATAATTACTTAGTGTCTTCGTTTGGGGGATTCTGCAGACTGAAGAGTGTTCAACATTCTGACGAGAGTTTAAACTCCGCGGGAACGGCGTGACAGCTCTCCATTTCTTGTCCTTTCTCTCTTCTGCCTATAATTCACTCTGCAGTTCTCTTCTCTGTGACTATGAGCCATGTGCGTGGGGCGCACAGTTAAGGGGGATCGGAAAGAAGGGATAGAATTGAAATTGTGAAAAAACCGAAAATAAGCACATGAATGGATTAATGAGATTCCCACTGTCCCTATCTACCATCCTGCGAAACCACAGCCAACGGAGGGGAACGGGCTGGAAGAATGGGCGGGCAAAGAAGACGCTGTTATTATTATTATTATTATTATTATTATTATTTTTCAAAGTAAGGAAGAACTGCACAGCAAAAGGCGAAAGAAGGGTTTCTGTGTGCTTCATTCTGTCTGCCTTTTTCTTCGTGTCTTTCGCAAAGTGGCCCGTTTAGTTGGTGGACATGTGACAGTAATACAGTGTACATATTTTTTCACAGAGAACTGCCTGTTGAACAGTAGGCAGAACAGGAGAAAAGGACAAGAAGTGGGGGGGCAGAAAGGGAGAAAAGGACGAGAAATAGGGGGCCGTGACAGACTTATTGTCATTCGATTTGCACTGGCTCATCATTCCTGGGCCGTGCATTGTAAAAATGTTCTCATCCATGCATGGCAATTATCCCCTTTAAAGTTTAAACCCACCAGTACACCCGGGCCTGCAGGTGGAGTACTGCGCACCAAGCTTTTCAGAACCGCCAGCGGCGCATTTTTTTCCTTTTTGGCTGGCGCCGCCAGCCATTGTGGTCCGGTAGGCTGGGCCTCGGAAATTTTCGTAGGTGACGAGTTTCTTTTCCAGCAGGGCTGGGGCCGTGTATTGGCGGTTTTGAGACCATGTCCTTGACCTCGTTTCTGCTTTGAATCAAAAGAAGGCCAAAGACCCACACATCTTGAACCACCACTACCTGCGAGCCTTTTTTTTTTGCGGAGGTGGAAAAGAACTGCGCGCCAAAGTAAACATAGTTGACAGAGGGATTCCCATGGACTTATTGTGCTGCATGTTACTTGCTTTAGAGATGATATAAAACTGTTTCATTGTTGGAATGTCTCAAGTGCTTCGTTGTCTGCAATAGGACTAAAGCTGCAGCGATTCTGGTTCTACTCATCTACGTGAACTAGGTGCTGTTGTGGTGAAAATTCAACACACACGCACCCTCTGTGTGCTGTCTCTTATACACATCTAGATGTGTATAAGAGAACAGGTGGAGCTTTCCTTACCTCTTCCCCCTCCCCCTTTTTTCCTTTTCCTTTTTTCTTTCCCCTTTTTTTGCGTTCTGATTCACAATGTGACAATATATGTATATGCGAATTGCCGAAGAAAAGAAAAAAGATGGGGTGTGTGATTTGGTTTGTTTGACTGATGATACTAGGCCTTCCTCTTCCCTTGTCATTTCTTTGACTGAATCCCTTTCTCTTTCTCTTGCCTCTGTGAGGTTTGGTTTCCTTCTCCTTTCGTTTATCTCTAGCATCCTTCTCTCGTCTGGGTTCCTCAATAACGCCTCCTTTCCGCGCTCCCCTCCTGTATAAGAGACAGCTGTTAAGGGGGAGTGTTAGGCCTAAGTTGCAGGGGAGGGAGAACCACCACTTTTGTTTCGCCTTCGTCGTGGGGAACCGATCGGTGAGCCGGTAGGGGATGGGGTGTGAGAATGGAGGGGGAAGCAATGGGGAGAGCCCTTGAGCCGTTTGATGTCAAGGCAAGCGTATTGATTTGTTGTTGCAACGGTCCAAGTGTACTGAGTTGCGCTGAGATGGCNGAGAGAGAGAGAGAGAGAGAGAGAGAGAGAGAGAGAGAGAGAGAGAGAGAGAGAGAGAGAGAGAGAGAGAGGGTGTTAAGGATTGTGTGAGCAATGTACTGAGTGGGGAAGCAAGCATGGGATGGAGAGGCCAGGGTACTGGACGGCAGTTCGCTGTGAAGCATGACATTAATGTAGTGAGCGGGGGGAAGCAAGCATGGGATGGAGAGGCCGGGGTAATGGACGGCAGTTTGCTATCTGCTGTGCAGCATGACATTCCTTCACACACAGAGAGAGAGAGAGAGAGAGAGAGAGAGAGAGAGAGAGAGAGAGAGAGAGAGAGAGAGATTTGTCTATATATCTCTGTTAACCAAGTGAGGTCTTTGGTGGACTCTTGCTGGTGCTTTACGGTGTGACACTGACCCAAAAAAAAAAAGAAAAAAAAAGTGTGTTCGCCCTCCCCCCTCCTCCGCTTCTTTTCTTCTGTTTTTTTTTCCCCTCGCATCTAGGGGTACCGATGCCCTTTCTTACCTACATTTCTGTGGCCTTGTCTGTGTGCAATTGGAATGATGGCATATGTTTTGTTTGAAAAGGCTCTTGCTAGCTCCGAACTATTTGTCACGTTCATTGCAAACTGCATCAGCACAGAATTGCAGTCGGAACCAAAGTTGCAGCTGAAGTCTTCGCGGGATGCCACACGTCATGGCTGGTGGAGACATGGCCAAGCAGAGGAATCTTCAATGCCTTTGGCCACTGCACTTGCAGCAGTGCTTGAAGGTACCTTCCCCACCATCCACGCTGTGGCCTTCCTCTTCTGGGGGTCGCATTGTTGTCGCCAGCCTTGCAATTTCTGCTTGTCTACCGCTGCCACTTCTTAGGGGATAGTGTGTCGATCTTGGGTGTTTATACTGAAAACAGACACGCGTGAACAGACCCACACACCTGTCTCTTATACACATCTAGATGTGTATAAGAGACAGGCAGAGGAATCTTCAATGCCTTTGGCCACTGCACTTGCAGCAGTGCTTGAAGGTACCTTCCCCACCATCCACGCTGTGGCCTTCCTCTTCTGGGGGTCGCATTGTTGTCGCCAGCCTTGCAATTTCTGCTTGTCTACCGCTGCCACTTCTTAGGGGATAGTGTGTCGATCTTGGGTGTTTATACTGAAAACAGACACGCGTGAACAGACCCACACACACCACACACACACACAATTTACTGCTATTCTTGTCAGGGGTTTGGACTCACAATCTGCTATGATTGCAGGGTTGGTCTGAGTAAACTCGACCACTTTTCTCTTCCAAGGGTCTCGCTAACTTTTGGCGCCGTGTTGAGTCCTTATCCATCAGTCAACCTGGGCAGGCTGTCTGTCCAGGTTCATCCTCCTGACGAGTCTGTGAAAGTCTAACAAAACAGTCTGGCACATGTTTTGACCTATGGTTTGAAACCGCAACGACAAGAGACAGCATGTCCTGTGCTAACAACTACTCCTGTGAGTGAGATACTAAAGGATCCCAGTCCTACGGTTCGAAGCATAGGTCAAACCGAACTATAGGCCAAACCACAGGTCAAACCAAACCATAGGTCAAACCAAACCGTAGGTCAAACCAAACCATAGGTCAAACCAAACAATAGGTCAAACCACAGGTCAAACCAAACCAAGGTCAAACCAAACCATAGGTCAAACAAAACCATAGGTCAAACCATAGGTCAAAACATGCTGTCTCTCAGCGTTGCGAGTTTGAACCATAGGTCAAACGCTCATAAGGCTAGGGGTGAGAGAGAGACAGTGTGTGCTGTCTCTCACCGCACGCCTTATGAGCATTTGACCTATGGTTCGAACTCGCAGTGCTGAGAGATAGCATGTCCTGTTGGAGGACTGGTGCCCTTCTGTGTCACGATTGGGGTGTGTCGACACTTTTTGCGACTTTTGCTCGAGTTTCGCGTGTCATGGTGTTTTCATAACTTAGAAAGTGTGTTGAATTGCAAGGGTGTGGCCATTATTAGATTTTTTGCAATTGCCTTCTGCCTACATACGAGGCAGTTCATTCATATGCGCAATCAGCGGCACCTGAGGCGGCATTAGGATGTGACGAGTCCTCCAGCTCGGAGCTATGCTGATATATCTCCTATGCGGTTCCCAATTTTTCTCATGGGCGGTTGAGACTACCGTCTTCACCCGAATAGAATGCCCGGTCATTATGGCTCTGCATCTAGACTGAAAGATTCCCCAAATACCGCTATAATGACCGGGCGTTCTATTCGGGTGAAGACGGTAGGGAAATGCAGTCACATTGCTATTAGATTGCAGCAGATGTTTTCAGATTTAGGCGTCGACACTGTGAGGAGTTTATGTCTGACTGGTTGATGATGTTTGCTTTGCTATGTGTGTGTCTCTGTACAGAGTTGTCCAAACCGATTGTCAAACAACACGTTGCAAGTCCTCTCCGAGTTATTCGAGCGCTGACAAAGTATGCGGACAAATTTGACATGGCAGCTCAGCAGGTGTGTGCTCAATTGCTGAGAACAATTAGGATGTCGTCATAAGACTGTTGATACGGACTCAATCAATTACAGACCCAAGTTCGAACTCCACCGGTAGCAGAGGAGTGAAATGCTACAATTCTGAACCACCTAAAAATTTAGTAAAAAAGAATCTGGCAATCTGCAATTACTTGGTAATTGTGTATATTATACTATATGGTTTGCAAACATGTGAGATCTGGAAGTTTTTCACAAGAGATGACCCTCGAAAGAGTCAAAACCATAATAATCTCTTTTCCTATTCGGCGGTTTTCGCAAACGTGCGAACGTGTTCTCCCGTGCGGGAATTCGTTCGCCCGAATACGTTTGCCCGTATGTGGGAGAAGTAGACACTTGCTTTTTGGATGATTTTTTTTTTGTTGCTGAATTGCTATTTCTCGGTTTTCGCTTTTTCAGTTTTTTTTTTTTTTTTTTTTTTTTTTTTTTTTTTTTTTTGTGAATTTTTGCGCTGGGATGGTTTTGGCGCCCGTTCGCGTTCCGGTCCACCGAACGCGAACACGATGCTTTGCAGCTTTTTTCTTCCCTCTTTTTAAGGAAGGGCGACGACCTTGAGATCGTGAACGTGACCCGCCTGAACTAAGTCAGAAATGTAGTTTTGGATTCGTACGCGGGTCTATATTTCAACAGTTTGTAAGTCTACCAACTGAGCTAGGCGAATCTTAATTGTATTGGAAAACAGAACTGCCGTTCAAACCTTGGGCATAGCGGGAGAAGAGGACATCGAACGAGGGGGACTGTGACAGACAGATTCGTCGGAGTTTCACCAACTCATCAGGAGAGGCTGAACCCCCTCTAATCTAGCCGGAAATCTGAAGGGTGAAAATATAGCCTGAATCTGGGTGGAATGGGTCTTTGACACCTTGGTTGTTCTGTTCATTGGTGCCGAACGTGCACAGGCCACCGTCGTCACCCGAATAGAACCGGGTTAGTATCATTGTATCTAGACAAAAAGTTGGCCCAAATGAAGCTATACATTCCGATAATGACGGGGCATTCTTTTTTTTTTTTTTTTTTTTTTGAACAAAGTCATGTACTAAATTTTATACGGGTTGGAAACCTGGTCTAGCGTCCCTTGCATTTTTGGTTTTCAACTTTTCACTCCACTCTTCTCCCCATTATGGCCGGGAGTCAGCGGCATTGATTACTGTCTGTTTGGAAGGATGTACCCCTGTTCTGCCCCTGCTTTATGTCTGTGTCTTCTCGTAATACTATACTGTCCTATTTGCGTATAGCATTGATTGCTTCCGCCTGGGAGGATCGACCTCGTCACATCCCCCCCCCCCCTCTTTTCGCAACCTCCTCTAGTCTTCCTATGTTGTATTTCCTATTCTAATCCACTGTGTTGCCATTATTAAAACCCTTCCTATTCCGTCCTCCTTCCTTCCCTCTTTTTTATTTTGTCTTTTAAACTCTTTTTTTTTTTTGTTTTTTGTTTTTGTTTGTTTTGAATTTGGACCATTTGAGACATTTCTCGATTTATGCGTGTCATCCTTGCACAGGGGCCATGCTAATCTTCCCTCTCTGTGTCGTTCCAATTTTAACGGATGTCCCGAAGGACAACTTCAAACTCTTTTTTAATTTGGAGAATTTTGGACCATTTCTTGATTTATGCCTGCCATCCTTGCGCGGGGCCCATGTTTCTGTTCTCTGTATCGTTCCAATTTTAAGAGATGTCCCGAAGGATGACTCCCTCCTCCTCCCATTCATTTGATTGCCCCCTAGGGGCCCTACCTTCTATCCCTGTTTCCTTCTGGAGTCCTATCGTTGTCATTTACCTTCCCTGCTATTTTTCTTTCGCCTACCTCTCCTTTCCCTTTGTTCTCCACCTTCCGAATGTGTCCCGCACCCCTCGTTGAGTCTCCACGTTTATGCAGTGGAAGAAAGATCTAAAGAGGGAGGATGAACCCAGAGGGAGGGTTGGGAGGAGGGAAGATAGCAACCAAGGACAATGGCGGGGCGTCCTATTTGGGCGAATACGGTAAAAAAAAAATTGTATTGGCCGATGACACAGACCGTCTGCCATGACCGCGGTGCAGAGAAGCGAGCAGCATCAAACTCGCGTCAGAGCCAGAACAGCAATTTTAGGTGGTGTAGAAAAGAAGGCTGTGACAAAAGCACCTATGGGCCTAGCTCAGTTGGTATGCTGCCGAGCTGTTTTATTACAGCCCGGAGTTCGAACTCCACTAGAACCATATTAGGAAAACACCCAGGTCTGGTCATCAAACTCAGGTCTGTAATAAAACCAAGTAGGGTAATTCAGATTAGAATTCTGAGTTACCCAGGGCTGGTCAGTTCAAAATTCAAAATGAGGACATCTCAACGCCGTAGCCCTTCGAAAAGAGAAAAAAAAAAAAAAAAACTGTGACAAAGTCGGTGAACCCTCATAGACATCAGGTGGGCCCCACATATGAAAAGGAACTGCAGTTATTTAAACTTATTTTCCATTAAAACCCCTACAGCAATAAATAAAATTAAAACATTCCAATGAAAATACCACTCGATTGAGTCCCAAAAAAAAGGACATTTCATGTCCAGTATGAAAATTGGCTGAAGGGGTACTGCTCTTCCTGACGGTCGAAAAAAAAGTGTATCACCAACTGGCAGACGAGGTGCTGAGTTCAAACTCCACTGGAAGCAGATGAATGAAATATGACGATTCTGAATTACCCAGGGCCCCTGTCAGTTCGATGATGATATCTCAATGCCGTTGCCCTCCTTTTTTTGAAAAAAGGAAAAATGTATCAGCAGCCCATCTGCCAAGACAGTGGTATTGGGCCCTCGGCCCCTCGGCCCCTCGGTGAACTCTGTGAAGAGTCAGAAAGAATCACATTGCTCTGGCGGGCTGGGGGGAAACAAAGCTCAGCAGTGCACGACACTCATTGCATCCTTCTGGCTTCTCTGCTCATACAAAGCTGAGCAGTGCTCTAAACTCATTGCACCCCTTTTGACTTCTACTCATCTGATTACAGTGATTGCTCTTGAGTCGTTGCGTCCTTTTGGGTTCGGCTCGTCTGATCACAGGGATTTAAACTTAGGTCTGCTGCTTAACAACAGTTCAGGGGTGTACTGTGGGGGGGTGTATCAAAATAAATCGGTATATAGGTTTGTCAGATTTCCTGGTGCAGTTGTGGATGTATTTCTGGCGCTTCCTTTTCTCTGCATTTTTATAAGTGTCATCCCCCAATGTCTGGTATAGAGAGAGGGGAGTAGAGAGAGAAGAGAGAGTTGTGTCCTTCGTCAGAGAAAGAGTTCAGCGCACCTCCCTGCTTGTGGCCTATGTACATTTGTTAGCGTGAGCGGCGCAGTGGTATATACATATGAATGGTGTTCACCAAGATTTCGTGTGCAGTTGTGGATGTGTTTCTGTCGTTTCCTTTTCTCTGCATTTAAACCACCAGTACATCTGAAGAAGTCGAACGAGCCTCTTCGAAAAGTTAGGGAACTCGGGACAGGGCCCGCCTGGAGGGGGGATTTTTTTTTTTTTTTTTTTTGTTCCAGGGCTGGACCTAGTCCTACCTCACAGCATGGGACACTTTTTTTTTTTCTACTGACCCTTCAGGTGCCCTTTCCCGAGCCTCCAAAATTTTAGGAGAGGCTCAATGGCTGGGGCCATGTACTGGTGGTTGACGCGCCATCCACCAATGTCCAGTATAGAGAGAGTAGAGTAGAGTAGAGTAGAGAGAGAAGAGAGTTGTGCCCTTCGTAGGAGAAAGAGTTGATCGCGCCTGCCTGCTTGTGGCCTTTCCTTTGTTAGAGCGAAGCACGGCTCAGTGTTATATGTGCATGTGAATCGTGTTCATCGTCTGGAGCACGGCGATTCTTGAGGTGAGAAGATTGCCAAAGGTGTGCGGGTAAATGCAACGCTTTGACGCTGAAAGGACATCTTGAAACTGAGATTGTTGTCTGTATGTGGTTGTGTTTTGTGTTGGTGGTTTGCTTGGCTTTGCTTGTTAGGATGCCGCAGAGGCGCTTGCTCATCTGGCTGCTGCTCTCAAGGAGGAACGCAATCGTCGGTTTACGGCTCTCTCTCCCACACTTGTGTCTATGGGACGGTTAATAAGTCATGAATCACACTTGGGCGGGAGGGGCGCCTCGCAGGATTCTGGACAGAGAACGGACAGAGTCTTGTGGAGTGGGCAGTCCAAGGAGTCTCTACAAGCATGGCGAAAGGCGTCGATGTGGCCAATGGAAGGGATTTTCAGTAGCCTGATCAAGTGCCAGCGATGCGGGCATCAGGTACTCTTGTTTTCTCTTTTTTTTATTCTTTTCAAACCATCAGTACCTCCGATCCTCTTTTTGCCGAGCCTGATTTTCACTGTGCACCGAGTTTTGCCAGGCCGGGGTAGTTGCATCCAAAAAGGAACAAAGTTAAAAAAAAAAAACCGAAGTAAAAGAATGGCCACGGCCCCGCTGGGCATCGATGTGGCCAATGGAAGGGTTTGATCCCCCCAGTCACCCGTTCGATCTGCCACGGCCCCCTGCGGTGCACTTTGGGATCACCAGCTGAGATAGTTGGCTCCCCCCCCCCCCCCGGGTGGTCTTGGCAGAGTAAGATTCTCGCCCCCCCTGAGTAGGAACCTGGGTACTTCTCGCTGCACAGAGTAGAGCATGTCTCTTATACACATCTAGATGTGTATAAGAGACGTGGTCTTGGCAGAGTAAGATTCTCGCCCCCCCTGAGTAGGAACCTGGGTACTTCTCGCTGCACAGAGTAGAGCATGCGAGTAAAGTCCTGATGAGTGCCCCGATGGTCTGTCAGGAGGTACACCGATTCTGTTTTTCGTTTATTTTGCTCTTCTTCCAAGTTTGGTAGGTGGCATATCTCAGCCATTGAAAGGCTGTGCTACCTAGGCTACCAGCCGGGCCGTCCGGGTCACCTTGTTTGCCCAGGCTGCTGGGCCGTGCAAGGAGCAAAGAAGGTCCCAGCAAAAAAAAAAAAAAGAAAAGAACTGAAAAAAAGAAGTTATGCCTCGCCGAACTGAACACCTTTTGCCTCAGGGTCACATCGGAATTCTTTACAAAATTTTATTTTAAAAACAAGATTCAGATTAAATTTATTATTTTTTTTCTTGGCCCGGCCGGGCAAGTGGTCCCTGGCCACTCTGTGCTATGCCTTAGTTTTGTGTTTTCGGGGGAAAGAATCAAAAAATTATGACGGGCGCAATCCTCTTTCTTCTCCTGTGCACAAAAAAAGGGGGCCTTTTTTTTTTTTTTGCGTATAAATTTCAGAATTTGTGAAAAAAAACGAAGGGTCTTTTCAACTCTTTTGCATTTGTTACCCACCTCTGTGATCCCTCCATGGGGCGAGATAGAGATGTAGTCCACATGATTAAATAAATTAATGGCGTCCTCGACATGCATTTGGACGCTTTCGGGACTCTATGAATTCGAAATGTTGGACTCGTCCAAACACGTCTGGTCCAGAAAGTCGTCCAAATGCGTATAGAGCGTTGTGCAGTGTAGCGAGGCTGAAAGCAGATGTCAAGCGTCAAAGCAATGATGATGTTATGAATATAGTAGTAGATTTACCACAGCGTACACGTGATGATATCGCTGTTTTTTTTTTTTTTTTTGCGAACTGATTTCTTTTCTTTGCGGGTTTTGCATCTCGCTCGCCGCTTGAGACATCGTCTGCTCGTTTGACATGTGTTGGTTGCAGTTTACGATGCAGCTGCAGACTTTCAACGAGATTGTGCTTTCACCACCGACAATGGGAACACCTTCCTGCATAGTGAGTGTCACTCCTCCTCCTCCTATGCTGATGTGTCGTGTGGCACTGCGCAGCTACAATCAATCCCGATAATCTCTGTCGAAAACTGAAGGTCTGAAACTAAGAAGCTGCGGAGGCAGGGCATTCCGAATCTACATCCCAAACAAACCGTTCACTCAATTCCTTGATGAATTATGCGAGATCGAGATAGATAGATAGATAGATAGATAGATAGAGAGAGAGAGAGAGAGAGAGAGAGAGAGAGAGAGAGAGAGAGAGAGAGAGAGAGAGAGAGAGAGAGCGTGGCTAGTTCCAAGCACGGTGGAAACCGTTCGTCTATCTGCTGGGTGAGGCCCACACCTCTCTTACGGCTCTACGTGCGGATGAAGAAGAATGATGAACTGCCGAACAAGCATTTTAGCTTCTTTAGNACTCAATTCCTTGATGAATTATGCGAGATCGAGATGCAGAAGTAGAATCCCTCGATGGCCCTGTTTGAAAAGGCAGGAGAGAGAGAGAGAGAGAGAGAGAGAGAGAGAGAGAGAGAGAGAGAGAGAGAGAGAGAGAGAGAGAGAGAGCAAAGCACAAGTAGAATCCCTCGATGGCCCTGTTTGAAAAGGCATTATTGTAGGGTTTAGGATTCTCGGAATAGAGCATGGGAGTATTAGGATAGAAGGCACGAGGTTTGGATCCGTAATTTCGTAGCGACAACCTGTCCCTCAGTTAGTCACTTGTTAATCCAGTCATCCTTTTCTTGGAAGATTGTGGAGATGGGTCTGATGGGACGCTGCCGCTGGACCGGGTTTTGCCATCACAAGCCTAGTCTGGGTTACAGCTCCAGGATTTTCCTAATCTGGGTAACTGCCCCAGGATTTTCCGGGTTGAAATGTTGAGGAAGTCCCGGCCTCAGACTTACTGGTAATCAGGACAACTTGCTTTAAAGTTTAAAGTTTAAACAGAAAAAAAGACTGGGCTTTTTGCCAGTTGCCCTTATTAGGGCATACTCACACGAGGACCTTTTTCACGTCTCTGTGGATGCAATTGAGGTCAGAATCCGGCCATACGCATCCAGGGCGGTTGAGAGAAGCTGTTATTATACATCCAGCAAAGTCGTAGTGCGAGTATGGCCCGACTCCGGAGTTCGGACCAACCATTCGGCCAGTTTTGGGATCCTAGAGAGGCGCAATCCACTGTGTTAGCAGGTCATTAGCAGGCGGAACCTCGTGTGCATCAGTTCGACCTTAAAATTGCTCTCTTGGGATTCACTGCCTGGGACTTAAGAGGGACATTAGCATGGTTTACTTGAAAACGGAGGCCCAGGGCCAAGTGGTCGCTTGTGCTCAGAATGCACGAACTTCACCTTTTTTGGTGACCAGGTGCATGCTTTCTGAGCATGAACAAGAGTACTCCATTCATTCAGTAGGGCCTGACTGGGATGCATCTGCCGGTTGGGAGGGGCCACTTGGTTAGGGCGTGAAGGGGAGAAAAGGGGTTGCGAAAGGCAGTTGCTCCTAATGTTTTCTCAGCCATAAGTTAGGATTTGAGTAAGGCAGTTGCTCCTAATGTTGTCTCAGCCATAAGTTAGGATTTTGAGTTTTCCCATGGTAACCCCCCGGACGTCCGGACCGGGTTCCAGACAGTCCGGTGTCCGGTGTCCGGTCCCCATGTCTGGATGGAGGCCCCTGGGCAAAAATCAAAAAAAAAAAAAAGGGGCGGCCCAGGACGTTTGTCGGTCCTAGCCGCCCCTCGAAAAATAACGGGGTGTTTTTAAGTGTCCTTTCACCCGATCGGACATGGCCTAGATGTCCAGACACAAGACACTGCAGGTTTTTGAGGTGGCAGGTTTCGCACAAGCCCGAGCAATTTCAAAGCGGCCGTTTTGACGTGGCGCCCGCCGCTGCTGCCCGTTTGGGAGGGAGAGAGAGAGAGAGAGAGAGAGAGAGAGAGAGAGAGAGAGAGAGAGCACTGACAGTGCTGCCAGTCTGAAGACTCTGACGTTCTGAATTGAACTGCAAAGTTCGAATTTTAAAGTTATATATGAAGTTATGAACTTGAATTACTAAATCCAAAGTTCAAAGTTCAAAGTCAGTCAGAATTTTTTCAAAATAAAATTCTCTGTTTCTTTAATCTTGTGCCTGCTTTGCACTGTTTGCAACTCTGCATGTCTGCTAGTTAAATGTGCCGGTTGATTTGCTGCAAGACACGTGCTCTGCTGCCTGAACTACAG